AAGGTAAAATAGCAGTTATAGAGTGGGAAAAACAAGTATCCAAGCCTGCAGAGGTAAAACGGGAGCTTAGGCAGGGGTGTCCTCTGCGACCCTTGTTATTCATGAAGTACCTACAAAAATTAGAGGCCAAATTAGAGGAAATTGGACCGGGCTTCAACCTGTCTTTTTTCAAACAAGGGAAACTCATTGAAGAGGCACTACCAGCATTGATGTACGCAGATGATATAGTGCTAATGGCCAACAACAAGGAAGATTTGCAGAGATTGATGGACATCTCCGCTAATGAGGGAGATATGTTATATGTCAGATTGAGTAATGAAAAATCGGCAGTCATAATTTCTAATGATAACGAAGGAAGTGAGCTTAGAATAAAAGAGGTCACGCTAGAGATAACAGATAAATACAAACATCAGGGCGTATGGATAAGCAATTGGGCTGAGTACCTAAGGGAACACGAAATATACGTGACGACTAAAGGTAACAGGAATGCAGCGGTGATGAAAAACAGGGCACTGTGGAAGTACAATAGGTATGATGTTGTGAGAGGAATATGGAAAGGGGTCATGGTTCTTGGTCTGACGTTCGGCAATGCGGTCTTGTGCATGAGATCAGAAGTTCAAGCAAGAATAAAAATTAAGCAACGTGGAATAGGTAGACTTGCCTTAACAACTCACGGGAATACACCAAATCAGGGAGTACAAGGTGATATGGGATGGACATCATTTGAGGGCAGGGAAGCTAGCAGCAAGATAAAATTTGAGAAGCGATTGAGAGAAATGAAGGAGGAGCGTTGGGCTAGGAAGGTTTTCAGCTACTTGTACATAAAGAATGTCGATACAAAATAGAGGAAGCGAACCAGGAAGTTGACTGGTAAATACTTAGAAAGCAGCAGGTGGCCAAACCAAAAAGAACTATCGGTAAAGAAGAAAGTGAAGGAAACGGAGACTGACATGTGGAAAATGGGCATGATTAAGAAGTCCGCAATAGAGATCCATCAAACTTTTAAGCAGGAAATTGCCAAGGAAAGGATCTATGATAATACTCGGGGTAGTTCTCTACTGTTTGAAGCCAGTACACGAGTATTGCGAACCAAGACATATGGGGCCAAATATGAAGGGTTAGACACGGTATGCAGTGCGTGCGGAGAGAAAGAGAAAAGTGCCGAACACTTGATAATGTTCTGCAAAGGGCTTCACCCTATATTTCAGGATGATGGCGCTGAGTTTTTCAATACACTGGGGTTTAGGGACAGGGAGGGTAAAATAGACTTTAAGCTTGTAGATTAAACAAGAATGAGGTTATCTGATTGGTCGCTAAAGTTAAGGCACGAGTGGAAATAAACCCATCAGTGCAAAGTACGAGTCCTCAACCTCACTATATAAAAGATAAATGTAATGGTTATATATCCAAAAATATATCCGAAAATAGATTGAGCACAAATAGTGAGAGCGTTCAATTCGTCATAGGTAGTAATTGAAGTGACTTTCGGAACAAATGTGTTAATAGTGTTTGCGTGTATAATAGGAACGTCACACGCCGGATTACTTAACATGCTTCGGGTAATTGAGTTATTTGGCCCATCACCCCATACCTCATATTTTTACCATCGCGACAATGATTTGCTTTTTCGGCGAGGTGTCACGGTTTCTGTAGATAGCAGATGACCAAAGGCTTTCCCGACTTCAATCTTTTCACGATGGCTGCAATGAGGGGCAGTTATAAGAACGAGGAAGGATTTAGACTGGGCCACCATTACCACACACTAAACAGTTGTTATGACAAAATGAATACAATTTATTGTCAACTGTCGAACTAGACAAATGGAGTTGTAGCTGTTTAAACAAATACCTACCGGTGTTGGCGGGAAACAGCTAATCTTCATCTTGACAGACGCATATGTGGGCACCCGTGTGAATATTACGCTGAGAGACGAACGCGCTGTCCACCTGAACACACCTGCACGCGTTCGCCGTCTCCGTGTGTATACTCTCTAAGTAGCCTGGTGGTCATGAGTATGACAACTCGTGTTCACCCGTAGCGCTGAAAACACATAAACGAAACAGAGTAAGAGACAGTTGAAAACGAGAGTTAAGTCCAAGAACAGGCTTCCTTGCCGGGGTTCTTGATTGTCAACAGAAGTTTTCCCGCGTGTTTGTCAGCGCCTTATTTCCTGATCAATTTGCCGTATTGTAGCCTTACCTTTGTGTGCGAGCCCGGAGAGCTCACGTTTCCAAGCTTCTATACATAACAGTAGAAAACTATAGTGGAGAAAACCAATGATAGCTTAGGGAAAGCTATTTTTAGTTGTGACGATGTAAATATGAATGAAGTAAACACAAAGCTCCCACTATGAATCTTTACAGAAGGCATCAGATGCTCTACAAATTGAGTTATGATGGCAGTCATCGTCCGAGTTCTATAATGGGCTCACTATGCTTCTTACGCAGAATTGCTTGCACAAGTGACTTCATCTAGTTGTCTTCAAATGGCGATAAACCCAGACTAGGGATCACTGGCTGATACTTCAAAGTAAATATATTTTTGTGCCAAACAGCTTTTTAAATATGTCAGAATCAATATGACCATGCATCGCACGAAGTGTGCATTACGTTTCTCAGCGCACGGTGTAGAAAATTTATGGCTGCTATGAAATAATAAATTATACAACCAAAATTTTAATATCTACCTAAATTCTGCGCTTTCACTTCTTGGAACCTCGTATAGTTTTTTGCAGCACGGTACAAGGGTGAAAAAACCCACCAAAGATCACATTCATAAATTTGCATCCAATTTCGGTAATGACATGAACTCTGGTACATATAGGAGTGATTCTAAGTGGTTTTATAGCCTTTCTTACAGAAGCATTTGCCGGTGTTATAGGCTGAAATGACTTACGTGGGCTTCTCTTTGTATTTACAGCAGTGTGTCACAAAAAATTATCATTTCACCTAAGGGAACATTGATAAATGTGCTAGCAACCGATTGTCATGTAAACACATAATGCTATACATCTAACGATTCTTGTTTCAATCTCACGTAACACAACGAAACAGTGGTTCAATTAGAAATAGTATCCCTCCAGGTCCAAAGCACTGTTCATTCGATGATTTCTCTATAGGTTAAATAATCGTTGAAAGCAACGCCAGTGAACGCGCCGTCTGGTAATGTTTGTCGAGAGAGTTCCCACGACCACGCCTTTAACCGCGCCTTTATAATGACGCATTGTTCACCTCACGCCTCCTTTCACCTCATCCAACACGTCTTTTACTGCTTACGAAAGATGTGTGGGGCGTTCACCCATGGCGTTCCCCCACTACGTTCACCCAAGTACTATCGCACCACCTGAGGCCAACGTAGCACAGCTACATGTGCCCTCACTTCGATGTGGCAGACACTCTGGTGCACATCCTACTGCGTTGCAGAATAAGCGTCCCAAGACTACAAGCTGCAGCACCAAATGTGGACCAATACCTCCTCAGGGAAGCATGGTAGGCTGCGATCTCCCAGCCGGACCTGGTCAAGCAGCGTCAACTCGTCGCTCGAGCGCGGCGGGCTGTTTCTGGAATAAGGGACCCTCCCATCTTCTCTCACAAGCTTAACTCAATATTTATTTTTCTCTATCTCTCTCTGTCAGTGCGATCCCACCACGCGAGATGGATAGACGGCAAGTCAAGCCCAAGAAGTGCTACACGCTGAATGAAAGCAAAACAAAATTTTTCAATGACCTTCTTGTCTCTTCGTCATCGTTCTGTTCTCGCGCTATAACTATCGTCATGTCATACCAACTAGCCCAAACCGCCACACTTACTATGAAAGCTGTTATGAGATCAATCAAGAATTGTCCGCCGCCACCGCCAGCGGTGTGTGTAATCTGTAACACAAGAATTAAGAAGAAAACTCAGTAAATAAAATAACCGAGGACGAAATGCTATTGGAACCTGGGTCCGTTCTTCCCCAGCTCAGTAGTCTGCTACTAAGTCACGCCATTACTTGAGCACGTTTCTAAAGTGACCTTAGGCAGGCTTTATGTGGGAAAAGGAATCCGGTTATTGTCAGTAATAATAAAGTGTTTTAGCTCATCGAAGGAACAACCAGGTGTCACACAAGGCGAATAGCGTGACGATTGGGTCATCCAATGCTACAAATAATCAGAAACCTTGTTCTTGATCATCTATTACTGTGGCGCATACCCACTTCAGGCATGATTTCTGATCGTAGTCAGCCACTGCATGAAGGTTTGTACAAAATTCCTAGCAAGTTTGTAGCGGAGACTATGCTGTTCTGAAGAATGACGAAGGATAGCATAGTGAATGTAGATTTACTACCCATACATCAATATTATTTATGGCGTAGTGGGTACCCGGCAAGTGTGCTTGTTGCAGTTACCCAAAGAGTGTTTAGAAAAGACTCCTTAAGGCCGCTCCTGTAGCTTTCGTTGTGACTGTGCTGCGCATTGCGCGCAGCTAGACCTGGCGTTTTTTTTTCGTTTCCTGTTTAGCATAGTGCTCTTGGTCGTACTGTACGAGAAGGACGACAACGTAATCCTTAGGATACGCCCTTTCACGTGAAAACAGAATGGCGTATATTCTCAGACTGAATTATTAGGAGAGTCAATGACTGCCCTCCGACCAATTTTTCGCACTTTGGCCGTACTTTTTTATTTATTTATTACGTGAAAGTATAACGAGTCTGGCTTAAACATGCATAGTAAACAGAAAAAATTGGTACACTAATTTTCATGAAGCCGACTACTTGCACGAAACTTAAAGGCCAATAATCACAGCACGGGAATACTCATATGCATACAGACTGTTTCCGTTTGAAGCCACGTATAGCACTATCTGGGAGCTCCTCTTTGAGTCAGCACCAGTCAAGAACCTGTAATCACTGCTTTCACAAGCAACTTTGATAATCGATAGCTCGCCCATATTTTCTGCAAGATGGTTTTTTTTTCGAAGTGGAGCGAAAAAGTTGCACGATAATATTTGTGTTCTGAGCTTCGACGAGACAACACGTGGACACTCATTGCTCCAGATCCCTAATTCGAAACACCTCGTTGGCGCACAATGAAAGCTGTCACGCTTCTGACTATTGGCGGCATCGCGTATGGTGAGTCGCAACAATGTGCCTGCAGTTAGCATGCTTTCGAAATATTACTAATCAGGACATGTTTTGTTCTTTCCGTTCATTACCTGTCTAACTTGTTCTGTGAACCAATCTGTTCAATGGCTCAGGCATCTCGGCTGATGTATTTGTGAGCAAATGATAATGATGGCATTTGTAGAAGTCTCATTAAGGCACACGCTACTTGCAATTTTCTACAGTAGCAAGCAACTGATATCGATGATGTGACCTCCGTGTTTGCAACAGAGAACCAAAATCACTGCTCCACCTTGGCGGGCGGGTAGTTTTCTTGGCAATGAAGCAAAGGCCACGGAGCCAAATTACGTGTCTCATACTGAAACGAATCTACAGCAAAAGTTGGGTAAATCCACTCTTGCTAATTGAAAAAATACATATTTCAATTTGTTCGTAGAACCGGGCCACCATATGTTTCGTTGATGAGATCAGACTCTCGTTATTACAATTACGTTTGGTTGGAAGCTTGTCACATTGCACGACCCCCGGAGGTGACCCAGCGAAGCGACGCAAAAAAGTGCAAACGAGCTTTGCAGACAATCTAAAATGACTTTACTGTATGCACCGCAATATTGATTTTTGAGTGGCCATGATTTTGTCCACATGGGGGACCGACACTATGCAGCGTGCTACCATGTTCGCATGGCAAACGTAGTCAGGGTGACGAGAATTTATGATGGCAGTCAGCTTTCTTGGTTGACAAGACATCTGATGTGTTTGCCTTAAAGGAAGATATTGTCTGATCTAAAACAAATGCAGCTCCATTGGTTGACCTGCAACATACAAACACGTGATTTCTCATACAATGTTAACCGCACTTATGTTCCATAACGTTTTTCTGCAGGAATTCTAGGCGTTTCCGCCGTGGATAATAACACTCGTCGCCCGGCCGGAGGCGTCCTGCGCAGCAGAGGTGCGGATGCACGTTTCATTTATAATTGTTGCGGCATTTGGAGGCACGAAAACTCCCCCAAGTTAAGGCAAACAAGAAACAATCGTAAACAAGCAAGGAAATTACGCAACTAGCATTTACGTTACACTATAAGCCAAAAGCGTTAGAGCGAATTTCTACAGAAAATGTTAAGCACTTTAGTAGGGTTTGTTAGTAAACTCTGTCAATAAAGTTTCAGATAATGTATCGCTTCAGAAATAAGCCTTTCAGCTCGTTAAACTTTGAAAAAATACCTTCTTCACACTCAAACAGTTCAATACAAACAAATAGATGTATAAGTTGTCTTTCCCATTGCGATACATCTATATGGGCACAGTCAGCACGTTTGTGCCATTGGCAACCCAAACAGGTTTGATATAAAGCCAAAATATGTACCATTGGGCCATACATTCTTTGTTTTACATGGTAGTAGAACCTTGTGAACGCTGGGTGTTAGCGTAGCTGCAGCTGAGACAAAAAGATCTGGCCGTCTTCGTCTTATCAAGGACACAACCTTATTGTCGCTCCATGTGCGACACCTCGCATCGTAAGCTCGCCAAGGTCCCAGCCAACTCACATCAATTGAAGGTGCGAAGCTCTATCGGGAAAGGGATGAGAGGAGAGTCCTGCATCACTCCAGACCAAATGCGAACTTAAGGCATAAACGCGTGGTCGCGAGAGCAGGCGTGTGTCCTCTCGATTGACACAACTGTCCCCGACTCGTAAACATAATGTATTTAGGCGACTCATAGCAGGAAACCTGCTCAATTCTCTAAAGCTACCGCATTCGCTTCTGCGGAGGTTTGTAGCTTTTCGGGGCAATGGATAAAATAGAATGTTCGCAAATGCACGAGGTGATTGATGATGAGTGGTTGAAGCTTCGGAGGTAATCTGGAAAACCTCAAATCCTCTAACATTTTGCCCACTCGATAATCATGTAAAGGAGGGACCAACACGGGGTGGTACAGCATATACACACACAAGTATTCAATTCGTCGCTGTCTGGTAGCATGATGCAGCGCTTCCATCTAGATTGCACTTCACGGGCTTTCGCCACCTTCACGTCCGCTTGTCGGCGAGCCCATGTCGCTTCAGCTTATAGTGCTCTCATCTCCTGATCCGCACGACGCTGGCCTCTTGCTTCAGCTTTGGCTTCTAAAGCCCTAAGCTCTACGTTGGCTGGACGGCGACCCCGCAATTAAGCTGCTTTGTAAGCCCTCCGCTACGCCGCCTTATCTTCATTCATAATATCAAAGCACACTGACTGAGGACTGTCGAAAGAGGTAGAAAGCACGCCTAGCGTGATCGCAGTTTGTAGTTCTGGCCCTACACTAGAGCGCACGTTAAGTAGAGCGAGCGCTGCACAGCCAATTCATACGAAAAGTGAGAACACAGCTGCACTTGTAAGGAGTGCTGCGAGTATTAGCGGCTGGCTACGGCGATGGGGAACTTGCCTCGATCCCAAGTAGCTTCGCCCCTGAAAGAATTAGCTGCTAGCGTTACCTTGTTTTGGGACCTGAAAACCTTGAGAGCTACTTAACAATACGCTTTTGTAAGAATATTCAAGAGGGCAAATTTGTGTGATCTCGGCGTTGCGTCTTGCGTTACGCGAAAGCTCTCGAGTTATCGGTTTTCTCGTTGTGTCGCAGCAGGGCTGCTCGGAGCCCAGGCTTTGACTGGGCCTATTTCTGTGCTGCGCTGCACTTGAAAGCCCGAGCCAGCGACCGTAGCGATTCTTGAAACTGGTTGGCCGCGCCCACGCGTACGCGTTGCAATGCGTGACCAAAAGTTTGCGGGTTGAGGTGCTGGTCTGCTGACAAAAGAGCATCACCGGTTCCATGTTGGTCGAGGCTTAATGGCAGACACACGAGTACTCTGCGATGCCAGAACACCAGATATTCAAAATTTGAGAAGCTTTCCACCGAGGCTTGCCTCATATTTGTGACGTAGTTTTTAAACACTGAACCACAAATATTATTCTCCGCATTCTATTTTTCCTTTTACATCTCCTAAATATAAGAAACAGCTTTGCGTCATTTTGCCGTACTCGAACCATCTTCATGGAAGCTGAATGGTTACTTTCGCTATAAAATGGCCCCAAATCTGCATGTTACATTGCATATGTCGCCGAAAGACGACAGTCCTGCGTCTAGAGAGAGTGAACAATGGGTTTATTTGATCTTCTGCGCAAGAAAAGTGGTGAATGGTATTCTGGAGGCGCTGCGTTTGTGGCTCGAGCATGTAGCAGAAGCTAACGAGTGCATCGAGGCACGTTAGAAAGAAGTGTCATCTGGCAGCAGGCGTCATTTCAATTTACCGGTGTAATCGCCTAGTCGACAAAGAGAGGGTACCAACCAAATCTGCCATCGCGACATTTGTGGGCACAAAATGTCCGTCAGAAATAAAATTATAGCCACTGATCTTCCGAGTAGAGCCCCGCGCTTCTCGTCCGATTCAATGCAAGAACTGCTGGAGATTCGGCCACAGTGCGGGAGGATGTAAATCTAACGTTCGTTGTAGCACCTGCGGAAAGAGCCATCCTTCAAGCAAGTGTACTGCAACAGCGGAAAAGTGTTGTCTCTGGGGGGCAGTCACTGCACCAACCACTCTGACTGTTCTGATCGTTCCAGGGAGGTTCAAATCCTATAAGTTATTGACCGCCACCGCTGTTCTCGAAGGGAATCCATTGACATAGTTAGAGACAGGGCTTTTGGATACTCTGGTATTACAGCGCGCTGCACTTCCAGTACAGACTCAAACCTATTGCAAGCTATCAAAACTGCTGCGGTAAAGGCAGTGAGTAAGGCAATAGATAAACTCATATCTAATCTTTTCGACTGTTTGGGGCAAATTCTTTCAAATCAGATTGAACAAACTGTACAGACTAGTACAGAACCTGCCGTATTAGACATTACCAGCGATACCACACAGCTACGCAATGTAGTGTTCGATGAACTTTCTGCATCTGCAGGCAAGGCTAAGCAGTCAGGAACACAGGTGCACTTGGACTGACATTCGCCTCAGCCGAGCACAAGTACTGCTACAGATATGGAACTCAATATACAAACTAATAAACGTACCAGATCCCTTATCTTCACCGATCTCAAGTTCCATTCTAAACGGAATGAATCAGCTATTTTGCGTGAAGATGCTAACAAGGGCGCGACATGCGCCTCTGGGGTGCGCTCAACACCATAGGTCAGTTGAGGGTACTACAGTGAAACTGCTGTTCTATATTCTCAGCCTCAACCGACTTACATTACTTTTGCAATAATTTTAATGTTGATATTATAATTCTCCGAGTAACTTGGCTCACACCAGATAAAAATTTCCATCTTGCAGGTTTTCGTTCTTTTCGAATAGATCGCCCATCACGTGGTGGTGGTTTAATGATCCTTGTATCAAGTAAATTATGCCATAGGGCGAAAATTTCTTTCAGAATCTTAGACTTGGATTGTGAAGTATCAGCATTAGACTTGTGTCTTCCCGGATACCACCCTTTTTCAATTGTATATTGTTACTTCCCTTCCGGTGTGCAAATTACGCGTTATCTTGATAGCGTTGTCGCAGCTTACACGGGAAAGATCCAGCCCTGACAGCTTTCGGTTTTCGAACTGATTTTTTTATTATCGCGCTGCACGCGCCGCGCGGCCCAAATGCCAACTTCTTCTTCCTTGACGCGCAGCGCATTGAGGCGCTACAGGGCTCCTCCCCGTAGAGCGAGAGCCGTAGGAATCACCAGAGGAGTCGCCCAGTGGACATGCTTGAATGTTGGCATCCAGACTTTAGATTGAAACCCCGCGGCCGCGAGAGTGGCGATATATGCAGGTTTCAGTCGATCAGCAGTCACGATGTCTTCACGGCCATTGATGTCCAGCGTGAACGTCTTAGGTGTACGATGGAGTACGCGGAATGGGCCATCATAGGCTGGTGTTAGTGGTGGCCGTATTTGGTCACGCCGAACGAAGACGTGACTGCAGTCATGCAGACCCTGACTTACGAACACCGACTGGGGGTGTCGGTCGGCAGGAATCACAGGAGCAAGGTCCCGAAACGTGGTGCGCAGGTCTCGAATGTACGCGGAGGCATCGTGAGTGGAAGGTGGCGATGATGGCTCGAAGAATTCTCCGAGAAGACGCAGGGAAACGCCATAGACTAGTTCGGCTGATGAGCGGCCGAGATCCACTTTCAATGCTGATCGGATGCCCAGAAGTACGAAGGGGAGGTGGTCGAGCCAACGTTCCCTTGGCTGGTGAGCAGTGATGGCAGCTTTCAGTTGTCGATGAAGCCGTTCGACCATGCCATTGGCGGAAGGATGGTTGGCAGTTGTGTGAATGTGTCAAATGCCCAGGATATTGGCAAGTGCGGTGAAAAGGGCCGATTGAAACTGACGACCGCGATCAGTGGGGACGACAGAGGGGCATCCAAAGCGCAAAACCCAGCCGTTTGTGAAAGCCTTGGCAACTGTTGGTGCTGTAATGTCGGAAATGGGAAACGCTTCCGGCCATCTGGTGAAGCGATCCACACATGTCAGCAGGTAACAGGCTCCTTGCAATGACGGAAGAGGACCGACGATGTCGAGATGGACGTGAGAAAACCTTGCGTCTGGAGGCTGAAACGGGGATGTTGCCGTGACAGTGGGACGGTGAACTTTAACGCGCTGGCACTCAAGGCAGGTTCGCGCCCAGCGTCGGACATCAGCATTGATGCTTGGCCAAAGGAAACGAGATGTGACTAGTTTCTGGGTCGCACGAATACCAGGATGGCTCTTGTTGTGTAATTGGTTAAAAATTGCACGACGAAAAGCTGAAGGCACGAAGGGCCGAGGGACACCAGTAGACGTTTCGCACGTTATTAATGAGGTAGAAAATTGAAGTGGGCACTCCGTGAACGATAGAGACGTGGATAAAGAGCGAAGATGATGCAGCTCAGGGTCATTTCTTTGGGCAGCTTTGGGCTTCCATGTCTAGTGGTGGCTGGGT